GCTTTCTTTTACGACACTTTAAAAATGACCTAAAATTCATTGCTCTACACTAGATCTATCTATCGTTTTACCAAGTATATCGTCTAATTTTAATTTTAACAAACTACTCATTTTCTCAAACTTTGATAAATTTTTGAAAATAAACTACTTGTCGTAAGGCCGTGATATTTCAATAAGTTGTATAAGACCATAATATATATCATCAAAAAAAGTTTCATAAAAATCGGCTCAATTTTTTTTCTCAACAACGAATTACAAGAAAACGGTTCGGTAGATTTCCACCTAAAACTAATCAGTATTATTCACAACTAATAACTTTCGAACAGTTTTTGACTCTTTAAAATCGATTCTGTAGTATGAGCTTAAATGTTGACCAAAAGTTTAACACTTTTTTTCCAAATTACAAGAAAACGTATTGGCAGATCGTCACACAAAACTGACAAACGTTTCGAGAAAACGTCGATCAAAGGTGTAATTTTGACAAATCCCAAAAAAAACATACAAATTTTTGCAAATTTTGACGAATTTTTAAAGTTTATGGTATGTATGCACAATAAAAAAAATCATAAAAATAGTCGAAGTTTTTTTTTAACACTTTATTACAAAAAAACGGCTGGCCAATCTTTCCAAAAACTAATAAGCACGATTCCCAAACAATATTTTTCGAACAGTGTCTCCACTTTTCTACAATTTACAAAGAAACGGCTTGGCTGATCGTCGCGCAAAATTGGTAAACGCTATTCCTCACCCAGATACATCAAATGGCTTTAAAAATTTTGAAATCGGTCCAGCCGTTTTTGAGAAAACGTCGATTTACGGCAAAAAATCTGTTCATATACACATCACAATACTTTTTTCAAATTTGTTTTCATTCGATTCAGAATGGTTTAAAACGTCGAGAAAACATAAAATTTGCGAATCGGATTGTTTGATAAAAATATTCATATTACTTTTTCTTCATTAAAACAATTCAAATTTTTATATTTCAACATTAAAGACGAAATTCCTTTAACAAAAAATAAAGATGTATATAGTTTATAAATTATATTGTTTGTATTGTAATTGTTCTTATATTGGCCAGCCTTGTCAGAACTTAGATGAAAGACACAGGCAGCATGAATTACAATGCAAAGAAATAGATAATAAAAAATTTAAAAGTACGCTTGTGGATCATGCAAATATTAACAACCTTAAGTTTGATTTTAATAATCCTCAAATCTTATGCCACAAAAAAGACTTATTTAAACGGAGTGTAATGCCATAACAGGAGCATGGCAGAATCAATGTTAATACGAGGGACATGTGAAGAATAAGGTTCCCAACGCTGTACACTCGCCGCGCGAGATACTAGGGGAAATCCGGCAACACAATTTTCATTGTTGATCCTTGCCACTCCATTCCAACTACCTGGAAGAACACTGCAACGCTTAGTGCCTGTGTAACAGCCTTCCTCGATGAAGCGCGTAATCGCCGTCACCGCCAGGTGTGAAATCCGTTCAGTCATTCGATTTTTAAACGCGAAGAAGCTTACACCAATTGAAATTCATAGACAGTTGGAAGAAGTTTATGGCAAAATTTGCATCAGCGTCCAGCACGTCCTCAAATGGTGCAGGGAGTTCTCCAAAGGATGCACAGACGTTCACGACGAGCAACGGAGCGAGAGACCATCGTGTTTTGGGACCGAAAAGGTGTCTTGCTTACCAAGTTTATGCCTAAATTGTCCACTATAAATTCGGACAAGTACTGTGAAACACTAACAAAACTCAAAAAAGCCATCCAAATTTGCCGGAGAAGAAGACCGAGCAAGGGCGTGGCGGCGGAGTTCTTCGAAGCGGGTTTTCAGAAGTGAAAACCTCCTCAGAAAAAATGCGTTGAAAGATCTGGCGACTATGTAGAAAAATAGTTTGAAATACAAGCTTACCGATGGTATATATATTTATTGCAATAACTAGTTGGTTTGGTATTTAGCCTTGAGGCAAGTTACATGAACTTCCCGAAATGTGTAAATAATCGACTTAATCAATAAAAAATAAATTAATTTATGAGTGATTATAAGTATTTTGAGTCGATTTATTACACGTCATTGCAAACGAACGAACGAACACTTAACGTGCATCAGAGTATATTCTAAAAGCAAATTTTCAAAAATCAATAATTTTTATAATTGAACCAGTTTCCGTAGGACTGTAACAGTTTAGTATGTTCATTAAGACCAAGTATACTATCGTTATACCAAGAACATCATCTAATTTTAATTTTAACTCACGTCAAAAAAACAACTCATTTTCTCAAACTTTGATGAATTTTTAAAATTAAACTACTTGTCGTAAGGCCGTGATATTACAGTAAGTGATATAAGACCATGATATATATCGCTAAAAAAAATCCATAAAAATCGGCTTAAATTTTTTTTCAACAGTTAATTACAAGAAAACGGCTCGGTAGATTTTCACCTAAAACTAATCAGTACCATTTCCAACTATCTTTCGAACAGTTTTTGATTTTTAAAAATCGGTTCGGTAGGATGAGCTTAAATGTAGACGAAAAGTTTAACACTTTTCTACAAATTACAAAGAAACGGCTTGGCAGATCGTTGCACAAAACTGACAAGCGATAGTCCTCATCGAAATACATCAAATGGATTTTAAATTTCTGAAATCGGTTCAGGAGTTTTTGAGAAAACGCCGATGAAAGATCTAATTTTGACAAATGCCAAAAAAACGATATTAATTTTTGCAAACTTTGACGAATTTTCAAAGTTAAACCAATTGTCGTAGGGCCGTAATATTTTAGTATGATCTAGAAGACTATAGTATCTACCGTTAAAAAAATAATAATAAAAATCGTCGAAAAAAAATTTTTTAACACTTTATTACAAGAAAACGGCCCGGTCGATCTTTACCAAAAACTAATCAGCACGATTCCCAATCAATACCTTTTGAACGGTTTTTGAATTTTCATAATCGGTTCAGAATTGCGGGCTAAAACGTGCACGAAAAATTTTTCATTTTTTTGCTATTTATAAAGAAACGTCTCGGCCGATCGTCCCACAAAGCTGACAAACTGATAGTCCTCATCGAGATACATCGAATGGCTTTTAAATTTTTGAAATCAGCCCAGCCGTTTTCGAGAAAACGTCGATTTACGGCAAAAAATCTGTCACATACACACACACACACACACATACTTTTTCCAAGTTTGATCTCATTCTATTCAGAATGGCTTAAAACGTCGAGAAAACATAAAATTAGCGATTCGGATTTTTTAATGAAAACATAAACTTCTACTTCGGGAAGTTAAAAAATGCCTCAATACTGAAAAAAATGTGGGTACCTTACTTTTTACATGACCCTCGTAGTTCGGACTAATAGTAACGTAAATCTGAGAACCGACACAAATATTTTATACGAATCTTATATATAAACATCATTAATAATTTATGTTTTTTTTTCATTTATCTTAGTCTCTTCAATAAATTAATCTGTTTTCATATTTGTTGATTTTAGTATGTGGTATAATAAAAATGCTTCCTTTTAAATCATTAAGTTTATTTTAGATGTTATTTGGTTCACGGTTCAGCGGGTAGAGAGATTTACAGAGTTTAACATAAGCATAAACATAAAAATGGCGGATACATAGTTTGGGTAGGGGAAAGAGTATTGCCAACGCCACTGATACTAATGGCGGTACATTTGAATTACAAATATATATAACATTACATTTGACATAAAAAAGTGTGACAAACAATTTTGTCCATGCTCCGGGGCGATGCTTGCATCCAGAGTATAATAATTAACATAACTAAATATTTGAGTGGACTGTATAACATAGACAATATATAGATAGATAATATAAGAATTACTGAAAATTGAAATAAAAACATTTCTTACAAGTTATGTTAATCTAAAATGAAAATGATAATAATAATGATATAATAAACTATGCCTAATAAAACAAACCATAGTGCAAGTGCAAAAAACTTAATACTAAATATATATACAAAGGAGATAATAGAAAATTATTAAGTAACAAAAATGCAATTAATTACAAGGTAAAGGTACAATCTTTGTTATTGGACGTGTAAATGTTCCAGTAGGAGTTTTTACAATAACGACTCGAACCTTTCCATCACATTCTGGTTTAGTTTCCAAAATTCAACCAGTAGGCCAATTCAAAGGTGGACTATTATCTTCCTTAATTAGAACTATGGAGTCAATTAAAATATTGGATTGAGTCTGAGACCATTTATGTCTCTTCTGCAAATTACTTAAATATTGGTTGGACCAAGATGACCAAAATTGGTTCCTCATTGCTGTCATTTGCTTGAACAACTTTAAGGTACCTAGCCTTGGCTGAGATTGATATGGCTCTGGAAGTGCTGTGATTGCTTCACCTATTAAAAAATGACCCGGACTTATATATGAAACATCTGAGCTATCATCCGTGAGTGATAACAATGGTCTGGAGTTCAGAATTGCCTCGATCTGTGCCAATACAGTGAGGTTTTCTTCGTACGTGAAGCAATGCGATCCTAACACCCTACGAATATGGTGTTTCATTTGTTTAATGGAGCCCTCCCATAACCCTCCAAAGTGAGGTGCATAAGACGAAGTAAATTTCCATGTTATTCCTAACTGAGCTGCAGCTGTTACCAAACCTTGTCTAGTCATGTCCAACTTAAAATACCTATATAACTCTTTCAACTCGTTGTTGGCTCCTACAAAATTCTTCCCATTATCACTATGTATGATAGAACAACTACCCCTACGAGAAATAAACCGTCTCAACGCAGCTAAAAAGGCATCAGTTGAGAGGCTAGAAACTAATTCTATATGGATTGCCTTGGTCACCATACATACAAATAACGAAATATAGGCCTTAACTCGAGGAGCCTTCCTTAAACGACTTGATCTCAACAATATTGGACCAGCAAAATCTACCCCAACTACCTTAAATGGACGATGTTGAGTGATCCTATCTGTTGGGAGACTACCCATCAATTAACTAGCAGCAGCAGCCTTAAAACGAGCACACTTACAACAATTATGAATAATTTGCTTTAAGGCGTTACGACCATTAATTGGCCAATAATTCAACCTTACATTTCCCAGAACGGTTTGAGTCCCTGCATGCAGCAGTCGCTCATGCTCTGACTTTAAAAACATGCGAACAATTACGTGTTTTTTTGGTAAAATGATGGGGTGTTTCTGGTTAAAAGAGATCTTTGCATGTTCCAATCTCCCACCTACACGCAACACGCCATCAGCATCCCTAAATGGATTTAATGATTTCAATTTATGAATTGAGACCTTATCTGTTTCTAAATCTTCATCATTAGTAATAGAGAATGTTTCTAACTGGACCAAATAAAATATCCTAAGAGTTGCAAACTGAATCTCAAAAGCTGACAACGGATCACCAAGAGGAACAGTTCCGCGCTTTTTCCTCCATCTGAGACAATATGCGACAATCCTAACAAGCTTGCTAAACTTGGATACCCTATCTGACAAAGACTTTAGAACAATACCAATGTCATCATCATCCTCAGTATTCGAAACAGCACAAAGTACCCGTGTTTCCGGCAGCTTATCTTTTGGTGGATCACAAAACCTATTCGGCCAATTTTCTCTGGTGCTACAAAGCCAAGATCACAGCTCAACAAATCACTAGCAATTCTAACACCTCTTGACACAATGTCTGCAGGGTTATCTTTGCTAGATACATGCTTCCACATAACTGCTGGAGTTAATTCTAAAATTTGCGACACTCTATTAGAAACATACATTTTCAACTGTGAGGGTTCTGTGCGCAGCCACGTAAGAATCACTCCACAGAAATGATTCGTTAATCTTCACAATACCTTTAGCCATAACATGCCTATATAATTTTGCCAATAACAACGCAGCTAACAATTCTAAGCGAGGAAGTGTCACCTGTTTTAACGGAGCAACCTTAGATTTAGAACATATTAGATGGCAGGAAATACTACCATCTTCATATGTCGCCCGTAGATAAACACAAGCTCCATAAGCCAGTAGTGAAGCATCCGCAAAACCGTGACACTGTATGCTTACAGGAACCTGTTTGAAAAGACAACGCGGAACAGACAAACCTTCCAAACACGAAAGATGATGTCTGAAATCATTCCAGCTATCCTGTAATTCATCTGGCAGAGCGTCTTTCTAATCTAAATTGCATTTCCATAATTTCTGCATTATCAATTTCGCTGTTATGGTAATCGGTGATATGAGTCCAATAGGATCATATATCCTAGTTATGGTAGAAAGTACAGATCTTTTAGTGTCTGTAGAAGTGATAAAAACATTGGAATAAGAGATTTTGAAAATATCCTCAACTGGATTCCATGATAAACCTAATGTTTTTACAGTATTATTTTGTTCAGAAAAATCTGTGGCTGACAAATTTTGTTGTTCCTTAGGAACATCACCTAACAACGAACGACTGTTACTTGACCACTTGTGTAACTGAAAACAACCTAACTTCAACAGACTACAGACCTCCAATTTCAGCTGCCCTAGTTCCTGCTCGGACGATGCACCTGTAATTATGTCATCGACATAACAGTCCCTATCTAAAGTCTGCGAAGCTAGTGGATACTTGACAGAATTTTCTTCTGACAACATCTTTAGACAACGCATGGCCAAGTATGGTGCACATGAAGTGCCATATGTAACGGTGTTTAACTTATAAATATCAAGCCTTTTCTGAGGAGAATCTCTCCAAATAATTAATTGTAAATTAGCATCTGCATCCCTAACCTTAATTTGCCTATACATCTTAACAATGTCAGCGACAAAAACATACAAGTGACACCTGAAGCGAATCAAAATCGAAAACAAATCTTGTTGTAGTTTTGGACCTGTATGCATGACATTATTAAGCGACAAACCTGTGGAAGTTTTGCAAGAAGCATCAAAAACAACACGAATTTTATTAACATTGCCATCCTTGAAAACCGGGTGATGAAGTAAAAAATAATACTTATTGTCAAAATCCTCTCCTGTAAGAGATGTAAGTTCAGCATGACTTAACTTTACATACTCATTAATAAAATTGGAGTAAGCTAAATTTAAGTCCTTATTTTTTACCAACCTACGTTCCAAATTCAAAAAACGAGTTCTTGTCTGTGTGAAAGAATTTCCTAACTGATACTTCTTACTATCAATAAATGGTAAAGCGACTTCAAATTGGCCATTTCCTAAACGATGTACATTTGAAACAAAGTGTTCCTCACAAGCCTTATCTGAACCCGTAAAGAATTGCTCAACGAGACCTCCTCTACCTGCCAAAACCTAGCTAATTCCTCATGGAGATCTTCGTTAGAGACAAACCCTACATATGACTCAGAACCAGCATCCCCTGAATAAACACCAGACAATAACCAACCGAAGCGACTGTTCTTCAAAATTGGCAAATTCTTCCCTAAGCGGATACAACCCTGTTGCAGGATGCCAAAATATAGCTCAGCGCCCATCAACAAGTCTATTGGACCTGGAATATTAAAATCTGGATCAGCTAATTGGACATGATCCGGGATTCTCCAGTGAGAATAATCAATAGATGAAGAAGGAAGATGTTGAGTTATATTATCAATAATAACACAATATAATTTGTGTTCAAAAGAAGTTAATTTAGATTTAATTTTAATCTTCACAGACTTATTACAAGTCATACTCTGCCCTTGTAAAACACTTAAATTATGAAGTGAAGAATTAATTGGAAGCTGGAGACGCGAAGCCAGCGATTTAGTAATTAAATTTATTTGTGAGCCACTATCTAAAAGTGCACGCACGGAATGTCTTTTGCCATTTGCATCAAAAATAATTAAGGAAACAGTAGAAAGCAGAGTTTGAGGATTCGAATGCGTCATAAGGATATTACTATTGTTGATGGGGGAAACCTTTTTCTCGTGCAACAAAGAATTATGTGATTCCTTTCATATAGAGCAAGGATAACTAAAATTTGCACTTCGAAATGCCATGTCGCAAAGCTATACAGCGTACACAAAATGAATGATTAGAGACTAGTTCCTTTCGCTTCTTGACATCCAAAGCTTTGAAATCAGCACATTGGAATAGGGCATGCTCTCCCTTGCAACAGATGCAAGGTTGAGAAGCCTTCTTCACAATTGTGTTGACTGTCTTAGCTGAGGGCCCTTTATAATCAGAACTAGAATTCTCTAAATCTACTACCCTCATTTCAATAAAATTAAAGAAACTATTCAAAGTTGGTAGTTCTGCTGACGCTTGAGACAAATTCCATGCAACTCTAGTGTTGTTATCCAACTTTTTCGACAACATGAACAAAAGAACGACATCCCAATATTTAACTGGTTCAAATAATGCAGTCAAAGCCTGAACTTGCTGCCTTGCATTATTTAAGAATGCTCTCAAATTTTCAAACAAACCTTTACTAATGGAGGAAATTTTATCGCTTGAGTTTAAGTGAGCGTTAATAATTAAAAATTTATTATCATATGTTTTTAAAATAAGATTATAGGCTACAGTGTAATTTTCATTAGATAATTTTAAACACGAAATAATATTGGAAGCTGAACCTGTGAGAGCACCCTTTAAATAATGCAACTTCTGCACGTCAGACAATTTAGCATTTGTGTGAATCAATGAGTTGTACAGGTCAATAAACGCTGTCCACTCACTAAATTTACCACTAAATGTGGGCAACACTATGTCAGGCAAATTAACATCAACTGAACTATTAGAGACCCTAATCGAATTCTTAGGAATATCCCTACTTTCAATCAAAGTCTGAACATCAGCCATCAAAGTAAAATATAATTCAGAAAATTCTAAAAATACCTTAGTGTACTCCCCTGGCTTCAACCTACTCAGCTCAATATAATTCGTTTCCCACTCATGTGATCGCTCAACCAACTTTTGCTTCCGTACATTTAACAGATTGATGTTATCATCCTCACTGAATCCTGCCACAAACTCTCTACTGGTATCAAAAGATGTCTTAATAATTTCGTGAACAGCTTCCATAGTCTCGATGTCAGCCATTTTAAAGTTGTTCAAACAAATCTACAAATACAAAATAATGAGAAAACCACAATAACAATGAAATCTTAACTAGCTCTATAATAACATAAGATAAATATTAAACTGATATACAGTGTGAAAGAGAAAAGAAAAGTATATAATAATACTATAAAAATATATAAACAGCTACTAGAAATTTTAAAGGATCTATCTGTACATAACACAGATGGACTAAAATATAATATAAAATAATATTATGGTATTCAATATAAAAATAAATCTTCCAATCAGCTTTGAGAATAAATACTTCACAGAGAACAACGCTAGGTGATCTCAAATATAACCAAAATCCCACGTGGTCTGCAAGCGATGAAGTCCTTCTTTGTCCTTGGCGTACTTATGGAAAATACCACAGTAATTGAAGCTGGATGTAATGCTGCCTCGTACAAATTGTCTGCCTCGTACAAACCGTCTTCCTCGAACAAACCGACCGCTTCTAGATTTTGTGCCCCCCGCCACTTAGAAATCGACGTACTGCGACACGACTAACCTCAAAAATTCCTCGAATGGCAACTCCACAAACGACGTAGAAATCAAATACTTTGCAGTCTCAGAGGTTCTGGTAGCCTTTGTGATCGCAGCTTTGCTTTTACAATTACCGAAGAATTGTAAACCCACGTGTCTTTCCGAAAATAATGCGAACACAAAAAACGTGTGTTTGTTTATATAGGTTAAACACACATAAACTAATAAGGAAAAGCACTGGTATCAATATATGTTACCCGGTGAGATGGACCAAAATATGGTATAATAAAAATGCTTCCTTTTAAATTATTAAGTTTATTTTAGATGTTATTTGGTTCACGGTTCAGCGGGAAGAGAGATTTACAGAGTTTAACATAAGCATAAACATAAAAATGGCGGATACATAGTTTGGGTAGGGGAAAGAGTATTGCCAACGCCATTGATACTAATGGCGGTACATTTGAATTACAAATATATATAACATTACATTTGACATAAAAAAGTGTGACAAACAATTTTGTCCAGTATGCGATCGCGCACTCTATTTGTTTACATTATAATAATAACCATCCTGTCTCTTCATCTCGATACTTTTTTTTAAAATATTTCTGTATCCATTTTCATATCCTTAGTACTGTGTCAAGCTGTGTAAGTGATAGTTGATGCTTTTTGTATTTTTAAAAATTAAATGTAATTTAAATAAAATATTAAAGAATGTGTAGTATATAAGTTTTTTTTTTAATTACACTGAAGATGGGGCATACCATAGTTCCGAAACGTCTGTAATTGCCAAATAAAGTATGTGTTAAAAATCAGAGTGTTGTATTGTTCATATTCAAAATTATATATATATATATATATATATATATATATATATATATATATATATATATATATATATATATATATATATGGAGGTGTGGTCCATATTAAATAAATACCAAAATGATAGACAATGATAAATTTTATAAAATATTATTTATATTTGGTTTATTTTATATATGATTAATATCCACGACACTATGTGTTGTCATACTGATCGTTAATAAAATGTTATTGGTATTTTCTTATTTATAATTGAAAAGAAAGGTTTTAAGAATTATACATTTTAGCAAATTCGACTAGGGAGAAACAAAAGCCATTTCCGATCTGACACTTGAATTTATTTTTGTTTTTCTCCGTGCTGTCACTATATGGGCCTATCTGTCCAGTAGACATGTGATGCGTGTTGACGAGCCGCGATGCGTGTTGACAACCCGCTATATCACTCCGCCCTAATGAAAAAGATTGTTTCGTATCTCTGACTGCCATTCTTGAACTTCCTTGTAAATTTCTTTTGGTTGAGATTATGTGATAAATTTTATTTGTTTGTGGCCGTGGCCGTTTTTAATGCCGTGTTGGCTTGTTGAGTTTGTTGATCGCTTACGTGGCCCTTCGCTGGTGAGTTAGCGGTTGAGTAGGTTTGGCCCTTCGCTGGTGAGTTAGCGGCTGAGTATATTTGACACTTCGCTGGTGAGTTAGCGGTTGAGTGTATGTGGCCCTTCGCTGGTGAGTTAGCGGTTGATTGCATGTGGCCCTTCGCTGGTGAGTTAGCGGTTGATTGTATGTGGCCCTTCGCTGGTGAGTTAGCGGTTGAGTGGCGGTTGCCGATGATTGCTGGTGCTCCCTGTCTGTTGCCATGGTGCTTATAATCGACTTATTTACCATGATAATAAGTGATTTATTGAGCACGTATTGTTATTGACCTTGAAGTGCGTGGTCGGAGTCTCAGTTGTATGCTTAGAATGCTCTTCGAATTATGGAAGTTGTGAGCCATTTATAATAATTATTTATATTTTTAAAAATTCTTTTCTTAATAATTCTTGAGACTTCAATTTATATTTTTTTACTTCAAAATATGTCTTGATCTTCTTATAATCCCTCATTATCCTGGAAAATGAGTCGATTATAAGCACCACGGCAGAGAACAGGGAGCACCAGCAATCATCGGCAACCGCCACTCAACCGCTAACTCACCAGCGAAGGGCCACATACACTCAACCGCTAACTCACCAGCGAAGGGCCACATGCACTCAACCGCTAACTCACCAGCGAAGGGCCACATACACTCAACCGCTAACTCACCAGCGAAGGGCCACATGCACTCAACCGCTAACTCACCAGCGAAGGGCCACATACACTCAACCGCTAACTCACTAGCAAAATGTCAAATATCATCAGCCGCTAACTCACCAGCGAAAGGCCACATCTACTCAGCCGCTTACTCGCCAGCGAAGGGCCACGTAAGCAATCAACCAACTGACCAAGCTAACACGGCATTCAAAACGGCCACGGCCACAAACAAATAAAATTAATCACACAATCTCAACCAAAAGAAATTTACAAGGAAGTTCAAGATGGCATTCAGAGATGCGAAACAAACTTTTTCATTAGGGCGGAGTGATGTAGCGGGTTGTCAACACGCATCGCGGCTCGTCAACACGCATCACATGTCTACTGGACAGATTGGCCCATATAGTGACAGCACGGAGAAAACAAAATTAATTCAAGTGTCAGATCTGACTTGGCTTTTGTGGCTCCCTAGTCTCATGTCCAAAATTAAAATTCTTGAATCTTTTCCTTTTTGATTGTAAATAAGTAAATACCAACTATATTTTGTAAATGATAAATATGATAACACATGGTGTCGTCAATACTAATCAAACCTAAAATAAACAAAATATAAAACATAATATTTCATAAAATTTATTATGTCTACAATTATGGTATTTAATATGGAGCACCACAACTGCTTCCATATATATATATATATATATATATATATATATATATATATATATATACTCGTATATATACAGGGGGCGCCAAAGCGAGTTTCGGAAATTAAATTTATAATATAATCTTCATATTTTTTATATAAAATCTAGAATTATTTATTTAAAATCTAGAATAATTAATAAATTATAATAAATAATTTAACTTGACCCTAGTAGAAACGAATCGTGGCGCAATATTGTACTTTATATGGGCTCTATATTGTTTACCAATATTGTTATAATATTATTCTGTTAACATTTTCCCATATAAATCCAATATTAAAACCAATATAGGCCCCATATAAAACCAATATTGATAAACAATATTAAAATCCCATTCAAAACTAATATAAGCCCAATATTGAAAACCAATATAAGATTAATATAAATAAACAATATTCAACCTACATAAAAAACAATATAAGCTCAATATAAATAAACAATATTTACCCCAAATTCAAAATTATTATTTAACACACATTTAAAAATATTATTTAATTTATATAGAAAAACAGTATTTAACTCATTGATAATAAAAGTTTATTTATTCTAAATGAATACACACATTTTTAAATAGTTTATGTATTGAATCTTAGTAATTTTATTAACAATTTACACATTCTTTTATGATAATAAGATATAGAACAATCAAAATATTTTCAGTCATTATAATAATTTGGAGAATCTTAATGGTAAATTATAATCTCATCTTTTTATAAGTATTTTAATTAGTAATGGGAATTCTTATATTATTTGAATATTTTCACACATGGTTTAACATTTTCTTGCAATCGATCACGATTACACCTGAAATAAGATAAAATATATTAAAATTTTATAGCAATATTTCAGGAATATATTGATTTTATAAACTCATAATAAATTCAATTACTTAGCTTTTTATAAAAAAACATTTCTGGCATTGTAGTTTATTGAAAACTCATATTTCCTAGAACTCGATCACAGTTAAATCTGAAATAATTAAAAATACAGTAAATATAACATTTTAACATTAATTTAAAACGGTACAATTATAATTTTAAATTAAAACAAAAAACTGTTGATGGAAATACGAATATCAAATATTCAAAAGCGATAATAAATTATTGAAAAGTCTGCATTTAATAAGTTTGTTAATATTTTTAGTACCTTTTATCAAATCCATTTTTGCTATGTCATCGTTTTTATGTTACAGCTGATTTTACATTTATTTCAATTTAGTCAATCTGGAATATATAAAACACATCATTGTTTACTAAATATGTATGTTGATTTATATAATATAAGTAATAAATATACTTACGTACTTTAACCATAAAACTCAAAATTGTGCTAATTAACCGCTTGATTTTAATTATAAACTGTTCACAAAATATGTTCTTAGCCAATTATTATTTGATATCATAGATCATTTTATTATTTACTAAAAATTTACGCACTAAGTTTTTTCCAGACTTACTATATATTATGAATATTTTTTAATATTATAATAAATTCTAAATTCAACAAGAATTGCTAAATGGACAGCCAAACAAATTTGACTCTACTGAAAAATGCGACAATGCGAGACTCTGCTTCCCTTGTGCATTGTTTGATGGTGTGCGTGTGCTTAGTTCCATGTAGTAGTAATATCATTATTAATCAAAGGGCGGTTCTAAAAGGTTTTTATGTTTTATGCTT